AAAAAATATTGTGGCCCTTCATTTAGGTATATTTTTCATAATTTATGCAGCTTAAGTTTATTTTAAAATCAATAATTATGATGTAAAATAAGACTTGAAATAGAATTAACACATAAATCTAAAGTTGTTCGTATTTATTTTATTGCTATTGTGCCACCCACCTGCTCCTGCCTTAGATAACCCTGATAAGATTGTCAACGTAAGTTTATTTTCGTCTTACTAAGAATTACTTCCCGGTGGGTCAGTATCGTAACACTTTGGGACATCAGGACATAATATGTAAAGGTACCTTAATAATTTATACATTTACAAAGTTTTGATTGATTAAATGAAAACTACTTCAAGAGTGAGTATCTTTTTCAAGTACAGTAGACTTTGAAAAGGTTTTAAAACTAATTAAAAAAGTATTTTAATAGCGACTTATTTCATCGTAGACAAGACTGGAAACAAGAAATCTAGTCTAGGAATTATTCTCAACGTATCCCTTCATCTATACTTTGCTTGTTGTATTGTAAAGAGGAATAATTTATATATTCTAACGAATAAACTCAAACACTACTGGACTGATTTCAAAAAATTCAGTCTCATTTTTAAAAAATAAAAATCCAGTCCAGCCGTGAAGCTGAGACAGCCCGCTAGCATTCTGAAATACCCCCTTCAGAATGTTGAAAATGCCTCGGAGACATGTCAAGTAACACTCAAGTATTTTTGTATGTTTACATAAACGTTGCAATCGGATGTCTCGCGTATGAAGATAATAACGGCAAATTATTTTAGCCCAAAGTCATGTCTCAAATGACTTTTTAAACACGTGTTTGGGATTTTTTCGCGGAACATTAATTGTTTAACGGAAACAGCAGTTGTGGTCCCGACCACACAAATATTTGTTTTGTTTTTAATTGTTCGATATTTGTTTGATTAATTTGATTGTTGTGTTTTGTATCGTTTGAATGGAGAATAAATGCTATATAGCTGTTATTTTTTTAGATTTTTTAACCGTATTGTTAATAAAAGCACTTTTATGCAAAGATGTTAATAATTTTTAACCTAGGCTTCAGATTTTTGTTTCTCACATGAGTGAAACAAAAATCCATTGCTGCCAGGATTTGAACATAAGAACTTCGGGTTGAGAGCTGTCTTGGCCACTAAGATAGCACTGATAAATTTCTTCGTCATCATCGGGCCTAGTTAATCGAAGACAGCATTTGAGGTTCTCATAGTAGCTAATATTTTTGTATTCAGACTTTGTATCTTTATGCATATATAAAAGTGTTTTATTTTATATTCAATGATTTTTTAACAGACAAGATGTGTTTACTAAATATATAATATGACACCATTGGGAGGTCCTACCTAATAATGTTAGGCACATATCTCTATACACTTCCAAAAAGCATCTCAATAAAGCCTATTTTATTGCCGTTTCCTCCCTCAGTTAGTTGGCATTCATCCCGAGATCCACCAAATCATTAAGGCTTATGTTTGTTGATTTTTTGTACTTCATTGTTTGGTTATGATAATAGGTGTTCGTTTTGTCGGGAGCGACACGGTGTGAAACTTAACGCCTCCATTCACAGATTTTATTGCACTTAATTTAGCGAGCCGATGCCGTTTTTAATAGACTTAAAAAATCATTTACAATCTTATTCACGGATTTTGGTTTTTAGCGACGTGTTATTAATTGAATTGGGTTTTTGTTTTTTGTCTATGTTTATTAAAGCGTTTAAAAATATTAAGTTAAAATCCCAATTCTTTAAGTGCTGGCAACGCACTTGCGAACATTATATGAGCCCATATACGTAGTCGGTCCCAAAGTTCTGTCATAAATGGAAATAATGATAAAAACAAAAGTACTGATCAGTTTGTAATGAGTGATATATCAATTCTTAGTACATTAATTAAGGAATAAAAAAAGCATAAAAATATTCGAAATAACCTCCCTCATTTTTAATACAGGCCCTTAAGCGTCGCGGCCAGTCGTCTATCGCAGCACGCACCATATTCGTGTCGATTTCAGTCACTGGTTTTTTTAAAGATGACTTCAGATTCTCCAAATTTTCATGAGGTTTATCACAGACCTTCCTCTCTAAGCCCTGTCATAATTTTCGGGTCCAAAGGATTAAGGTCCGGACTGGAGGAAGGCCAATCCTCATGTCTAATTAAGACGATGTTTTGACGCTCAAACCAGGCTTTAGTGGTCTTGGCTTTGTATGCAGACGCAGAGTCCTGCTGGAACACGAAGTGATGTCCCGCAAATAGGGTGCTGGACATGTCTTTGACAAGGCGATACAAAACCGTCTCTTGGTACACTGTAGCACTGGTTTTGACCCCCTTTTCGAAAAAATTAACCTCAGTTAGCCCGTAATAGGACACTCCCAACCAAACCATTACTGATGATGGATGATGTCCATGTTGCACCCTTCTAACTTTATTTTCAGCTTCTTCAGAACTCCTAGCGTACACTGTATAATTCTGTTTATTGTACTTCTCTTCAATATCGAAAAATTTTTCGTCCGTAAAGAGGATATCACGGTGTCGGTTTTTCGCGTACCGCTTAAACAACACCCGCGATCTCTTAAGCCTTATTGCTTTTAGACGAGCATTAAGTAAGTGCCCACTCTTTTTTGTATGCTCGTAGACCAAGATCTTCATTTAAAACCTTTTTACTGTTTTCCTACTGACACCCATCTGCAAATCCATCAACTTCTGTTTTCGGACAGGATTTCTTACTATCCGCGCCTTGATAGCTTTGATTACTGCTGGTGTTCTTGCGGAGCGTGGCCAGCCAGTTCTTTTCTTGTCCTCAACACTGGAGACTTCAAGGTACCTATCAATAGTACCGTACACAAACCTAAGCGTTATATTCAAATTTTTGAGCAACTTGAAAATGGTACTCGGCGAGTGTCCACAGCGGTGCAACGCAATAACAACTATTCGGTTTACTTTCAATGTCCACTCCATCGTGAAAAATTACGGAAAGTTATTGTTTTTTGTTTTAAAACAATAATCAAACATTCCAAAATAGAATGCAATAATTTTTTTATAAAATCCTGCCCGAAATGTAGAAATAATTTGCTAGTGACAGAACTTTGGGACCAACTACGTATGCAATATCTTGATTTATATGTAAAAAAATGTGAGGTGATAACGTGATTAAAGTTACTGACGTAGTGTATCTGGAGTAGTATAATTTAGTTTCGTTTATAAAGGTTACAAAATAGCTTTTTTCTGTACTGGCATGAGAAAGAAAATATTTATTATATATTTTTTTTAATAAATCTTTTTACTAGATGAAAATGCAAATCGCGACTACCAGGTATGTTTGAAATGTCGACTTATGAAAATAATGTTATAAATTCGTGTTTATATACCTATTTTAATAAGACTTTTGCATTCAGTATAAATTATGTGTATATGGACTTTCTTATATAATCGCGATATTATAACTTATAATAATTAAAAGTTAAAATTACGCTAACCTACTTAAACTTTCGGCTATAAACGAGAAAAATTGAAAAGTTTCTCTAAGGCTTTCCTTCATTTGCACCCAACAATCGCTCTTTGAAAATGAACCAAAGCTGCACTCATTAAAAGTTGTCCAAGACCACGAGGTCTCTCAAAACTCAAGCTAGAATGAGGATTTATCAACTCAAAAGTAGACTGGCTGGACCATTATTTCTCATTGTCCCGTAATAAGAATTAACCAGTGGCTTACAGATAGTAAATCTCCGTACTGGATCGTGCATTGGTTTATTCAGGCTGATAATATTTCATGAATGTTAATACAAATGTGCGTGAGTGTGTCTTGGTGTATGTTATGTTTTGGAGTGGTTAAAGGGTTAACTTAACAAATTCTCTTGTAGGTGACGGATTGAACTTGGACCTTAAAATTATATCTTAATCTAAATCTAATAAAATTGCCAATTTTTTAATCCAATAGGTAAGTAGGTGATCAGCCTCCTGTGCCTGACACATGCCGTCGATTTTTTGGGTTTAAGGCAAGCCGGTTCACGTTGTTTTCCTTCACCGTTCGAGCGAATATTTAATATGCGCACATACACAGAATGTCCACTGGTGTACAGTCGGGGATCGAACCTACTACCTAAGGGATGAGAGTTGCACGCTGAAGCCACTAGGGCAACACTGCTCTACTAACCTTCTGAGTTAATTTATAGAATTGAGTGTGAAATATTTATCAAACGTCATTATAAGTATTAAGACGAACTACATTCCAAGAATCGGTATAGTTGCCAAGCTTTGCTCGAATTCGAATTTATATGATAGCATATATCCATACAAGTTGTCCACTAACTTGCCTAATAAATCTGCATTACAGCGATATGGCCTGCCAGTTGTGTATTAGCATTCAACGTTGGCAGGAACCACTCGTAATGCCCCGATATCGATGGCAATACCGTGACCGAGCCGCGGACTGCTCACGTAACAGTTTTGTTGTTATCATCGCTAACCACTCCGCATTCGTCTGGGACGATATTAAAAAGATTTGGCAACGAGCCACCGAGATATCGATCTTTATGCTTGGCCAGACGGCTATATAGCTGCTCCCTAAGTGCCATGCCGGTTGGTTTAATGACTTCCCATGTTTGTGAGTTTCGAATACTTTATGTACTTGGCGATAGTTGTGGACAGTTACAGCTATCGAACGTCGTTTTGAATTAGGTACGTTTTTACTGTCTTGTTTTAAAAGCTCGCGTATTGATGAATGAATGAGCTTTATCGCGGCTGTAAAATTAAGTTTCTTTGTATGTTTCACGTCGTCTTATCTCCGTCATCTGTCATGATTCCATTAAAATTCGGAGTCATCGAAATGGAAAAATATTTTTGTATTTTGTCAGATAATTTATCAAATCTTTTGTTTATTTAAATTATTTGCAGACGCCTAAAGTTTAATTAACAAAGGCGTATATTGTATCAATGATTGCAGCTGCGTGTCTATTATTCGCGTAAATTGGTGTATCTATCAATTTCCTTTGTTAAAAATGGTCATAATTAGGCCGGTGAGTGTGAAGGGCGACACCTGCGCTCGTATCAGCCGATCTGGCCGTTACGGTTTATGGGGTTTCTACCAAAAACAATTGGAATGGCAAAAAGTAATGCGGGTACCAGGTACGGGGAGTGCGGGCCGCGGCGGGGTTCCACAATTTATGATTGCGCCGTGTCAACGTGTTAATGAACTGTTGCTCTTTATTGAGATAACTCCGGCAATCTATGGCTGAGCGAAAATCGACTCATTACTTACGACGCCCAGATCTCGCGTGTCCCTTTATATCGAGCTGTTTTTTGCTCCGCGCCTTCGTGCCAAGCGACTATTATTAACTCGTCGTTCTATGAGTACGAGATAAGCCAATTCATAAAGATATAACGCACTGTCTAGGAAGGCACGTTGTTATATGAGCACCGGCGTACATAAATAATACTTAGCTTTGTACTTCTACTAACAATGATAAGTTATTTATCGCACAAGTAGAATTTATTTTTGAATTATGTTCTATGCAATGTCTAATCCATTAATAAGGATTTACATTTGTTAAGAGACATGGTGCGTAATGTGTTGGAATAACATCCGGTGAAAATTCAGAATAATTGTTTAGAAAAGTATGCCAACTCCATCTATTAATTTAATTATGAGTCAAGAGTAGTTCTACTAAGAAAACATATATATTCTAATTGGCTAATATTAAGTTTCCATATTTTTGAAACATGAAACACGGAGACACCCACTTACTCCCGTAGGCGCCATTTTTATCTCATGGCAGTCTTATCATTGGAAGTAATGATTTCGTCTGATAGCATTTAATAAGTTTAACAAACACATTTAAGATATACAGTAAACTGTTGATTTGTATACCATTTATTTGTACTCTAATGTAATTTGTATACTACTATTGTATATTTAATTTGATCATATTTCACCATGCGTCCTGCTGATAGAGTACAAATCTTTGTTTTTAATTTCTTTAATTATTATGAATTAACTATTAATTACATAAGATCTCAATTGGAACATGGTGTAATGATTGCAGCTCCTTACAATCATTCTGTAAAACAAAAAACTTGGCGATTAAAAAGAGTGGTGGAAAATTTATTGCCAGTTCTTCTCTTCGCCTGTACGCCCGTGATTTGAGAACTGGCATGTAAAATTAGAAGCATTTAATATGGATTTCTTATTGACGTTCATAAGTGTACATTGTGTTATCTAAATTAATAAATGATTTTCATTTAATTTGATTTATTATTGAAGTCATTTTTAAAATCTTGTCAAATAGCTTTTTTAAACTTGCCACCTAGTCTTGACTGTAATCTCATAACTGCATTAATCAGTAACCGTATAGGTGCAATGATAACTTTTGTTCCATTCTCGACCATTTAAAGGTAGAACATATTGATAAATCTTAACTTGATAAACACGACTTATCCCGAGAATGTCTTGAATTCAATCTTTGTTTGTTGCAGGTATGTAATCTGGTGACCTGTGTACTGGGAGTGTTCGATACTTGAATGGTATGTATTTTATCCTCATTAGTCTATCTTTTTACGTCAAGGCAGATACCAAATTCAATCCATCTCATGTCCGTACAAAGCTAACCGTTTTTGTGGCAGTTTTTGCAACCTACCACCACTATGTGGAATCAGTTGCCCACTAAACCATTTCCGAACCAATTGGACTTAGAGTCCTTCAAGGAAAGAGCGTACCAACTCTTATAAGGTTGGCAAAACACTTGCGAGCCTGGTAGTGAGAGTGTCCATGGGCGGCGGTATCACTTAACATCAGATGAGCCCTGTCGGTTTTGCCCCCCTGTTCTATAAAAAAAATAGTTGTATCAATCTACGGTTTAGAAAATACAGTTTAGAAATAAAGTGATGCACTGCTTGTAAAGAACGATGCTTTACAAATTGTCCACGTTCTGAAAATGAATATATTAGCAAAATTTTCGTCTACAAAACAACTCATGGAAGTCTCAAATGGTTATTATATTGGAATGAAGCTTATTAATAAATCAGTGGCGCTACAATCTTTTTTAGGTCTGGGCCTCAGATTTCTGTATTCTGTTTCATGATCATTTGTCAATCTAATAGGCAAGTAGGTGATCAGTCTTGACTGTGGGTCTAAGGCAAGCCGCTTTCCTCACGATGTTTTCCTGCACCGATCAAAGCTACGACCTCAGGGATGAGAGTTGCATATAGAGAGTTGCATATATAGAGTTATAAATAATACATATAAATATGTTGTTAAATAATATTTGTCGTATAGGATCAATCTTATTAGAATGTTTAGGTTTGTAGGGTTACGTTAATTTTTACTAAATATTTAAACATGTATAGAACAACGTATTTGTAAGGTCCCGGGAATGGTCTCTGAACACAAGAGATAAACTACCTCGTTATTCTATAAACCCTACAAGGCGTTAATGGTGCACAAATTGTATTCGAATTGGACAGTTTCAATATTAACACAATAGCAAAGGCAGTCAAGTGTAAGGAATGAATTATAAAATCGAAACCATAAATTACACTTGTCCTTGTACGTGGAAAACGGGCAACAAGTGATTTTATTGCACGCTCCATTTAAGTGAGAGGCTTAAGTTGTCAACTTTAGCAGTCTAATAGGACAGACTGGTTTCTCGTATTCAAATAAGACATACCCATAACTCTTCGATACTTGAGTGGTGACGATTATATGGGAATATGATTGTTAACTATTGAATAGAAATTATAATAAGTATAATATTGTAAATGATAACAAACATAATTTTTTAGTAGGTAAGTACATAATTCATTAAAAATTAGATTTGCAAGTTTTAATTTTGAATTTATTATGTATATAATTATTATGTACAGTTTTTGTCTTAATCTACATTACCATGACAAATAAAATTACGTTTTTCAATTTAGCAGGAATTTAACAGAAATATATCTTTTTATCTATTTTAAATTTTCAATTGTGTCCTTTATATTTCAAATTCACATTATAACGTTTTTTTTAAATTGAATTTAAAAGTAATGAATCTGAAAAGTTCATAATTTACCTTTAACCTTTTTTTATACGTAGGCGTAATCATCACATTGTCAGAAAACTATTAAAATATTTAAAGTACGTACATACTATATAATTGATAATAAAAACTTGTGGAATAATATATAAAGCAAGTTCTATTTAAATTAATTTAACGTCCTTGGCCCAGTAACAATTTATAAATAAGATTTTGTATATCAAACCTTAGTGCGGCATCAAATACACGTTTTTAACCTATATTCATAAGCCCGGCTAGCTCAGTCGGTAGAGCATGAGACTCTTAATCTCAGGGTCGTGGGTTCGAGCCCCACGTTGGGCGCTTCTTTTTTTTTCATTTTTTATTCTTTTTTTATATATAGAGATGCTAATTAAACAATTCATCTTATCTTTTAAAAAGTATGTAGCTTTATACCCTTTGTTCATAATCACTTTTAAGTGAAGTACTCTTCCTGTCAAATTCTGCTTACATAATAAAAACAAAAGACAGTGTAGTGCCTCAGTTAAATTGTTGCCTGGAACGATATATTTATTATAAACTCATTCCTTTCTCCTCCCTTTTTTGTCTATTACCAATCCAAATAGTCTATGGTATCAGAATTTGTTCATACTTCAAACTATTACGTTGGAATACATTTCTCAACGCTTATTCAAATTCAACGCATCTTTAAAATTTTGTGTAGGCCGCTGCATAAACAGTTGAGATAAGCTAACTGCTTTTCAAATAAATACTCCGAGGTTTTCAATTACAAATGGCATTAAATCAGGTTCTCATCGGGCCTTATTAACTACGAGATTATGCTTTATTATTTTAGTTGGGAATAAATAATAAACCTATGGATCGCGATATCATACGCATATCTAATTGAATAAGGAGTCGTGCTCTGATATTTATCAAGCTATTAATGAAATTTTATTCACAAAAGTAAATGTCTATTTAAAGTACATATCGTTTTTATATACGAATATTTTCAGATAGTATTTGTTTTTAATGAGTGATCTAAACTACTGAGTTATACAGTGTTCATAATCTAATCAATATACAGATTTTACTTTACGAATATATATCTAATACATTTGCAAATTCGTGACATTATTACCGTGGAATGTCCGAAAATAGTACATTTTAAAATTGTACAGGTATTGAAAATTCTTGATTTCAAGTAGGTAATGAAAGAATTTTTGAAATCAGTTTAGTAGTTTTTGTTTGAAAACATATATACAAAAACACAAATGTTTCCTCTTTATAGTATTAGTATATGTTGATGCCAACCCCCACGACACCTCAGAGACTCAGGCCTGCACAGGATTATACGTTTAGATGTTCGTTTGAGAACACCCGTGCAGTAACCAAAGTAACCTCGGCGCGGCTTTGAATACCGGTGGGGTTTGACTACGTACGTTTTGTCAAGACGGTTCGACGTATCGCTGGCACCGCCTCGACCCACGCACCCCTGCTAGTGCGTAATTGTAGGATGTTGTCTTGAAATGAAACTGCGCCTTGTTCTTGTTTCTTGCTTCGCCGATTATTCTTGGGTCCCAGTTCGTTGCGGAGGAAAAAGAGGATTTTGCGTAGATCTCGCCGAGCTTAAGTACTTCGACAGTATACCGCGACGAGAGCTGCGCTTACAGCCATCTGCGCGCGTATACCGCGACGAGAGCTACGCGACCCTTTTATTCGGCGAAGCATTTTATAATTTATTTAACTATATTTTTCTTTACATATTTTACCTAACTTATTTATACTTAATTTCTACTTATGAGCTATCAACAATATTCTTATTTTACTTATAGCTCATACTTAATTACCACTTACGAGCTGCAAACAATATTCATATTTAACATATAGCTCATGCTTAATACTACTTAAATCTATGAGTCGCCAACATTCTCCCCCTCGTGCGTAGCACCGTCATTCCTGCACGGCGACTTCGCAGGCACCAAGATGACGATCCTCGACGATGGTCTTCGTAACACTCCACCTTAGGTTGCGACGTCCACGATCCTGGTTCTTCCGTCGGGCCCGGGGTACGTGGTTTCGATTGTTCCCCTCGGCCAAGTGCATAGTGGTAGCGTGCGATCTACGATAAAAACCACGTCGCCTGGCTGCAGCTGCTCGCCTTCCCGTCGTCCTGTCGTTTTCCTGGGCAGTAGCGTGGGCAAGTACTCCCGTAGCCATCTCCTCCAAAAGTGATCAGAAAGTCG